CTATTTCTATTGAAAATTTCTTATATTTTAGTACATTTTTGGTAAGTCATTGTTATATTTAAACATTCTTTAGAAAGATTTGATGAATTATCTATATGATCTTTAGTTATTATTACTATTATTCTCTGTATTTCTTACATATATTCCTATTTTTTCATCTCTAGTTTCATATTTTAATTTTAAAATTTTGTTTGCTGACATCATATTTTCAATTAAATCAAATCAAAAACTTAGGTTAAATGTTTCAGATATAATCTGTTAAAAAAGTCTTCAAAACTCCATCTAATATGTACAATATATTATATTGGATAGATATTATCTTAAAATATTTTTAGTTTTAAAGAATATCATCATATTGAATGTAACTTAAGTTTTAAAAAGTATGATAGTTGGAAAAAATATGGTGGCAAGTGGCAATACTGTTGCCATGTTCCATATGAACAAGTGAGGGACTGATCATTTTTGGAATTTGGAAGAAAAAGACACCTAGTTGTTCAACACCTAAAGATGTTTGTGTAAAATGTGTAGATCGATGAGTACGAAACAGTTACTTAGTAGTGTCAAATTGAACTACCCTAATGCGATGTTTTTGAATGATGATCATTGTGTTGGATGAAACGTGAATGCATACAAGTCAGAACTGAAAAGCCAGTCTAATGAATGGTGTCATCCATCATCCTCCACCCTAAAAATCTGTGCCAAGAACCCAGGAATATGAAAGTGATGTTGCTAATGGCATGATATGATACTCTATCATACAGTTCCTCAGAGCTAAACTGTGAATGCTGCAAATAATGATCCAGGTACTTATAGTAATAGGTACCTGGATCATCATCATCTTCACATGGTGCAGAGCAAATGGCAGCATTTCAAAAACATGCTCCCATTTTCTTGCATGATAATGCTCGCTGTCACAATGTATGGGAGTTGTTAGGACAGCGGGAGTGGGAAGTACTTAAACATCTTTCATATTCCTCTTATATGAATCCCTACAACCTAAAAATTATAGATTAAATAGAAAAGAAATAGACTGAAAGATATGAGAAACAAATATGAAGAATAAATGTAAGGAATATAGGATATAAAAAAAACTGAAATTTTATGCAATAAGATTAAAAAAATCATAAATGATCTCTGTTCAAGCATTTTGGTTAGATAAAAACTTGTTCAAATACAATCAGTTTTAAAAAGTACTCCTGCTTTCAATTCCATAAATATATAAATTATAATAATCAAAGTTAAAAAAAAGTTTAAGGCAGGGTTTGTTAAACTGAATTATACTTCACATTTTTAGAACATTATTTGATATATGTTTCACTAATTGTGTTTGAGTATCTTATGGAATAATTGATAAAGCTTTAAACAATGCTATGAGCTTTTTAAAATATTAAAAAGCTCATAGCATTGTTGTGTGTGTTATGCTGAGTTAAATTTATGCAGATGCAAATGAGCAAAGTTAATGTGCAATTCAAAATATTATTTCAAGTTTTATTCTAACAAGTTTTACTATTGACTTTCTTTTCTTATAAACAAACATCGTCACTAAACCTGATATATTTTAAAGCTACACACCAACCAATGCCGAATATTATCAGGCTAGAAACAGCTATAATATTAATAATTTATAAGACAATTTGGCACTAGAGTTAGGCATTAGGCACCATCTCTTGATAAATTTAATAATTATAATTTTAATTAAATAATTTAAATGGAATAAAAGAATTCGGAGCAGATTGAAAATGTTCCAGGTCTAGAGATTTTACATTGCACACGTCATAGAATAGAGTGGTGAGCTCCATTAGCATAGTCTTCAGCATGTCCTCATCGACTGCAGCCTCAAATCGTTGAGCCCATGCCTTAACCCAAGATGGGATGCCATCTGTGGAAACAGTGTCATCAGTAAATGTAGAAGACTTAGTGACAGTTGCAGCTGGGGTTGGAGGTACAGTACATCAGGGCTTCTTAGGAGACTGGATCTAGAAAAGGGAGATGAAGTTTAACTGCCCAGTGAGGGTTGTGGTGGTGAGAGCATCCCACCTATAGCTGTGACTGGTTGAGTACTTGTTGGATCATGGGCGGTGGTCCTGACCCCAAGCTTGGGTTAGTTGTTCCTGGAGTGGGGGCTGGCAACCATCTAGTCTTTCTGGCTTGTCTTGGTGCTGCAGGTGCTGGAGCAGGTGGCGGTGGCAACTTAGTTGAGGTTTGAGAGTGGTGTACTCCTTGAGAAGGTTTTACAATCAGTTTTACTAATCTTCTGAATTTGGATTGAGCAGAACAGGTGGGTGACTGTGGCGTGTAGGCTTCCTGTGGCAAGTGCTCACTGTCCCGATCATTGTGCACAGACAACCGGATCGGTCTTGTCTTCCTCTTGGGTTTGGTTGGTGCGGGCCCTGAAGGGGGTGATGGTGTTTGTGAGTCTCAGGATGATTGGTCACTGTCAGTAGGAGCCGGGGTGGTCATTGGGCAGGATTTTTTCGTAATGTACTTTTTCCTAGGTCTGGTAGGAATATGTGTGATTCTACATTCAGTCAGCAGCGACAGTGGAGAAGAGGCAGCTTCAATGCCGTTGCAGCAGACTTCCACATGCAACTGATGCGCCTTCAATCTCTTTAACTGGTCTTGGATGAGGCCACAGGCATGGCATTCAAAAACAAGTTTGGTGCCATAAACATGTTTCAAATGCCCTTCTCTCTCTTTGAATCTTCTTCAAGTCCAAATTTCTTATAAAAATAAGAATCCAAAACAAACTTAAATATGGCTTCCAATGTTCTTTTTGTGAAATATCTAACAAAATTTCAAATTCAAAAATTATCCAATGCACATTATTTTTGTAGAATATTCAAAATGTTTTTAAAAACTTTGATTATATGACGTAAATGGAGCATGCGCACAAGTCAAGTCTTACATTTGTAAGAAATTTTGTTGGTGGATGCTATAGAAAAAATGCCTGTCAAGTATATAAAATATGTTTTTCCTCCCAAAAGTTTACATAATTCTCCTTTGCTTCTGTCTTAAAAATTTCCAGTGTCTCATGGGCTCTGATGTTATCACATTGTTGTACCCATCCAATCAATGAGGGTGGTGTTCAGGAGATCAGCATGCATGTCTTATTCAGATGCCTAACAAGGGTGGTGGTGTATTTTTTGTTATTAATATTGTAGACATGCTCTTCAATCCTCTTTTTTATGGAGTGGATGGTGGAACCAATCCACTCCATAAAATTCCACTCCATAAGATTCCAATGTAGGTTACATTGGAATCTTAGGTCTATTACTGGGATACTATATACTCCTGGTAGACATAGATGATCAGTGGTGTCCTTACTGTTTCATAGTAAGCTGTAGATAGTAGAAATGTGCAAGTATGTAAAGTTCTGCATTTTTTTGTTGGGCTATTTACTTATATAACTTATTCATTAAGTGGTTTATATTCCAATACAATATAATTGGAATATAACCACTTAATGAATAAGTGGATATATTCCAATGTTTAACTATAACCTTGTTTAACTCCAAAAAGGACTTATTGGAATTAAACAAGGGTTCTAAAATACAGGTGTGTTATGTACAGAAACTCTAATATATGAAGAGTTTGTGATATTCCTATCATATGATTCTATTTAATAGTTTAAACTATTAAATATAAACATAATATTCTATTTAATAGTTTAAACTAAATAATTTAAATTACATGATACATTTGGCAATTTATGGTTTTCTAAAAGATATTTATTTTTTTCTACTATTGTTATCTCTTTTACTTTTTATTTTATTTTAATTTTTAAATGTAATGTTTACTTATTATGAAAACTGATACCTTGATTTTATTTTTGTAAAATTTGAAATTTTGATTTTGAAATAATTCTGAAACACTACACATCTTTATCAATAATCATCTTAATCCACCGGAGAATACTAACAAAAAACTCTTTCTAACCTGTTACCGGTGCATTCTCCTTCTATAAAATCATAACCAACAAAATAGCTCTTTACTAACATTTTTGAACCCCAATGATGGTTCTTCTTCAGGTATGGAAATGAAGCTTGTAACACATCTAATTTGAAAATGTGTGTACATCTAAATGCATGCTTTCCATTTACATCTTTGTTTGTCATGTGCAGTCAACTCCAATATGGCTATCATAAATTACTGTTCATAAGCTGTTTTTTGTTATTCTGAAACACTGTTCTTAATCTTACATTTGATTGATTTGAAGATGAAACCTAATGGTTCCTAAAAATATTTAACCAAATAAAGAATTTTTCTGGACCTCTTGGTAATATACTAGTGAATTATTTGAAGCATGTAATGCCATAATGTTGTAAATGCCAAAAAATGAAACGTTTCAGGAGAGGTAAAAAACACTTTTTCTAGTGAATAAATTCATTTCAATTTTGCAATAAAATGGTTACAAATTCTCTGGAATACCAAGATGATGTAAATAGTAGCCATAATGTTTTAAACACCAAAAGTCATGTGACTTGCACTCTGATGCTTTAAACATTATGGCTTCACATTAATTCAACTTCAAATTATAGTGCCAATATCACAACAATATTTTTGTGGCAAACATTGCATTCAGAATTCAATTCTTCAATAAAATATATTTAGAGAAAAATGGCATTTACACGCTTCATTTAGTTTAAAGCTTATATATAAAATTACTATTGTTAATTGCTTTTTGTATTTTTTCCTGTAAATTATCTTAATCATTAAATTGTTTCTGATCATTAATACATTTGTTGAATTTATTACTAGCCCTTGCATCTGTGATAAAGTGTGTGTTTGTATTTATTTTTATTATTAAACCATTTGTTCTATTAAATAATCCACTGACTATTTTTTTTACAAGGATAATCCCAAAAGTAAGGTCTCCTATTTTTTAAAAAATACAAAGAAATGTTTATTTTCAATAATGTTCATATAACTTTAAAGCTTGAACATTTACCTATTTTTCTACATAATTGCCATTTCGGTTATGCATTTTGTAGGCGCTGCGACAGTTTTTGTATGCCCATGTCATACCAGCTCACCGCCATGTCTCAGGACCCATCTTGCACACACCTTCCAATATTGCAACTTTTCTGTTAAAATCCTATAAATGGTGCTTCAGAAACCCCAAGAAACAAAATGCAGAGATCATCCAGAGTGATCCACCAATCTTCATGCATGGTTTGCTCAACCTTTGTGACTGTCTCATCAGAAATTGATGGTCTCCTGCTTCTTTCTTCATTGTGAATTTCAGTGTGATCAGCTGCAAATTCCCTACACCATTTTAGGATGTTTTTGACATCTATGCATGACTCACTATACACTTCCATCAATTGGCAATGAATTTCAATCAGTTTAACACAACATGGCGGTGAGCTGGTATGACATGGGCATACAAAAACTGCCACAGTGCCTACAAAAAATGCATTGACCAAAATGACGATTTTGTATGAAATAGATAAATGTTCAAGCTTTAAAATGATATGAACATTATTGAAAATAAACATTTCTTTGTATTTTAAAAAAAATAGGAGAACTTACTTTTAGGATTACCCTCGTACATTGCTGTTAATTATTAATGTGTCCATGGTATTTTTTCCAACTAACATTTACTTTTTGTTTGCTGAAAGGTTAGATCTGCCCTCTCATATACCCTACAGTAGAGTTTGGTCAGAGTTTACTTTTTAAAAATATCAAACTTTACAATATTTAATAAAACATTTTTATTTAGAAATGAAGATACTCACTGTTACAAACTGAAATGCTCTCTCTTTATCTGGAACATCAAGATCATCAAAAAATATTCCACCAATACCTCGACATTCATCTACAAAACACCATTTTTACATAATTATTTCAGATCTGTTAATTTGCTGTATATCATCATTAAAAATAAATAGAACTTCAGTTAATATGATCAATTTCATATTAGATTTATTCATAAAAAATTATTAGTAATGTAAATTATATAAATCTTAATGCAAGTTTCAATTTTACACATGTAATGCATATTCTTATTGCTTATATGCAACAGTCAGGAAGTTGGATATCTGTACCCATCATGCTGTAACAGTGCAGCATATGAAACTTTATAGTGCATGAAACTGCATAACATTTTAAGCTGTTCCCAATTTATGAATATTCTTAATTTCAGCATGCAAAATGCCTATTTCAAGTATAATAATTGACTAGCAATACATTTTCTAATATTGGAATAAAAAAAACGAATACTGCATAATAACATTATCAATGTTCAATATTATTAATATTGAGAATTATTGAAAGGACGTCATTATGACATTATTTAAGTGTTTCCACTTAAATCCGCAATCAGGCAGAAACTTTTTTAATGGGTCAAACCCCACACAAAATTTCAGCTTTGAACATGCAAATACTGCACTGTAAAACCAAAAATCTTTCTACAGTTTTTCCCTGATACCTTGGAAAAGCATTTGTTTATTTGTTGGCTTCACTAGAAACAGCAAAAATTCAAACAATTCTTGTTTTCGTTGTTTCACATAGTTAACATGTATGTAAAAATCTGTAAAAAAATAATGGATATAGTCTTTATGTGTTTATATCACATAGTTTTTATTTGAACAAAATCAACAAAGACTTTTCCAAGATATCAGGAAAAAACTAAAAAATTTTTCAATTTTTACATTTCAGTGGATATGAGTTCAAAGCTGAAAATTGATGTAGGGTAGTTTGGATCCAAGGCTAACCCATCAAAAACATTTCAGCCCAATTGCAGATTTAGGCTGGAACACCTTAAACAATAGTAATGTTCTTTACAAAGTTATTTAATTTAATGGTCCAATACTTACAAACTTTAAAATTTGTTAACATTAAAATTTTAAATTTTAAGTTTGATTCCAGAGTATCTAACTAATTTCTTTGGATTCCCACTCATTTACTGTTAAGAAATTGAAATTATGCATTTGATTGGCTAACAAATTTCAACTGTAAACAATTTTAACTCTAATTTAAAAATGGATCCTTCCCAAAATTTTACATTTCTTTGTTGTAACTGATTAGAAAAACAAACCAGTTAACTAATAGTGATTTTAAAAACAGTATAAATAGGTGGCATCCATTTGTTATCTCTTCTTTCAGACAAAGTTTTGTCTTTTTATCATATTGTGAATATATTAATACTTTTCTTATACACCATATTGGTCCAAATATTATTCAATGATTTTTCCTATGCTTCTTTTAAATCTTGAATTAACAAAAATTTGTAGAATTTTTAGATCTTAGAAACAAAATAATATAAAAGTTGATTGGTTGATCAACTTTTATATTATATTAACTCAAATAATACAAAATTTGCTCTGTATGGAAAATGGAAACAAGAAATTAAATTATTCACAAACAATGAAAAACTCTTCTACAGACAAATTAATAGAAAATCCACTACTGATTCACAACACAATGGCATGCCAACAGAAGAACTCACAAATTATTGATCTTCTCTTTGGTCCATTGCCAGTTTGCACAATACTGATGCAAACTGGATCAGAGAGGAGAGCAAAGACAGCCAGGACACACCTACTTTACATTGTATTGACATAAACACACAAGACATATCCATTGCACAATGCAGAAGACACAACTAGACAACACCTGATATAAATAACATTCACAATTACTGCTACAAAAAATTCACATCTCTGCACCAGGAACTAGCTAAACATTTAATGCATATTAACAATAATTCATGAAACATTCTAAATTTTCTCATGCAGAACATCACCTACATGAAATCCAAAAGCAATACCACCAGAGACCTGCACAGTACAAACCAATTACATGTCTTCCAAGTAGTTTCCTTGATTTTACCATGCTCCACTAAAGAACATTACATCTTCACATCCATAACACTCACACTAAAACAAATCAAATATACATAAAGTGAGAAATGTTTCAAGAAGATTCCTTGAGTTCTTTTCAGTTCTGCCTTGCACTTAATTCTGTATTTAACATATTGAACAAAACACAACACAGTTACAATATCAGACACAACAAAATAACACTGCTCACATTATTACACCTGTGGGTTCCCAGACGAGGTTCGAACTCGAGTAAACCGTGAAATTCTTGCGCGACACGAGATGTAAACAACGAGACTCGGAACGGTTCGAGTATGTGTCAACTATCTGTTAATGTCTTAGCGGAAGACAAACTCTAACCCGAGCGCTCATAAACAGGTAGATCTTTGACTCGCGTGTCTATAAAATGTTGGCCGAAATAAACCTTTTCGAACAAAAAAATAGAGGAATTTCTGATAGGTGAAAGGTGAAAATGATCGTTAAATTCTTAGACGTCAAAAATGGTAAATAACGGCCTGAGTTATGAGTGCAGGTGTTATTATTTTATAAACAGTCCTCGAACAGAGTCGACAAAGAGGTATCAGATGGACACCTCGAATCGGACCTTTCCCGCGACCCGAAAAAGTTTCGTCTTGCACCTGGAGACAAAGGAGAAACCAATCGGGAAGCGAGAAAGGGACGGGGGACCAATCCGAAAGGCGAACAGTGGGGGAAAAACTATAAAAATCGGAACTTCAAGGTCGAAGAAGAGTCTCCTCCGGATTAACCCTACAGTGGTGATTAAATTTGTGTTGTGCATCCGCCGCTCACCGAGGACACCGCAAGGAAACGACGAACTCCTGCTTCGTCCGGATATCCTTCTCGTCCGCCCGAACTGCAACCGAGATCACGAACTTTCGCCGTTCCCAGGAGATTTTGGAATTATCCTATATCGATGTAAGCATGAATTCGAACAAATAAACGGGTTTTATCTTGTAAAACACTTGTGCATCATTTGCCTCCTTCGCCACCGCCCACATACGCGGTTACCCTTAGGCTCATTCTGACGTGAGATAGACTTTTTCCCCCTCAACGTCGGCAAACCTTACACACCTCATGCACATGGACAATATCAAACTTAACTCATTCATACAAAATTACACACACACACATACTTAAATGATACAAAACACTCCACGTCAAAAAAAAAGTTCTGAAGAAAGGAGAAGAAAGGGATATTGGAAATGAAGATATTATTGAGTCTATGGAAGTGGATGATTTTTATAAATACTGTTTTTTGTGGATTGTCCGGCCTGTCAGATTTCATGGTCTCCTCCAGACTATCTAGAGGAGACCATGAAATCAAATATTTCCATATGGTAAAAAAAATGGTGAAATCAGATATTTCCATATGGTAAGTTTATCCTGGGGAATGCTGGCATGCCAGTTTAAGTGAGCAGTTTAAGCACCCTCTCTAGAGGGTGCTTAAACTGCTCACTTAAACAAATGAGTTATGTTGCATGGCATCTCGTAGATGCCAGTTTTTATTCTAAAATTGTGAAATTGTCAGCATTACATCAAAAACTACGATTATAGGTTTAATTTCTGCACTGTGTCTTCTTTCTAAAGATGTAAAATACTCATGGAATACCAAAAGTGCTTTTTTTAATGTTTATTTTATTGTAATTTGATCTAAAAACACAAAAATAAACACATCAAACTTCAGAAACCACTGTAAATTATCTCAGCTTACATCCATTAACATCTGCTTTGTGTGAAATTTGAGAGAAGGGTGTTAGGCTTCAGGCTATAGGTAGATTGTCAGTGCAGCCCACACTGACTAACTACTAGTATAACTAATGTCAATAAGATGCTAATTATTTTATTGCCCTGTAAAAAAAACTTCCTTCTTATAAGTCAGTCAAATTACAATGTTATTATTTTATTGTACTCAAAAAAATGTTTTCTTTAACATTTATTTAAAACTAGTTTTGATAGATCTGATTACTTTTATTTTTTAGTCAAATGAAAATGAGACAGATGGGAAAAAAGTAAGTAAACTGTTTATTATTTCAAAAGTAATTGCCATAACTGTTAATACATTTATCCCACTGTGAGACAAGACGGTCAATGCCTTCATAGAAAAATGTTTGCGGTTGCCTACCGAACCATGACTGTACCTAGGCATGCACCTTTTCGTCCAAAACAAATTGACAGCCATGAATGTCTTTCTTTGGGACTCCAAAAATATGGAAATCGCATGGGGAGAAATTGGGACTGTATGGAGAATGTGTATGAAATACGCTGCAGAAGTTCCCAGCGAAACTTCTGCAGCGTAGTCGAAACAATTTAGTAACATGTGGGTGGGCATTATCCTGCAACAGAATGATGCTGTCGGTCAACATTCCTGGGTGTTTGGATTTGATGGCATGCTTCAATTTTTGCAAAGTTTCTATGTACCGCTATGCGTTAATTGTGGAGCCATATTCCAGAAAGTCAACAAGCAGCGGACCTCCATAGTGATGTCGGATGCACACACAACTCGCCGACCTCACTTTGAGCACGTCTAACAGACAAATGGCACAGCGGTGAACGTTCACGCTGTTCCTTCCTGATTCCCGATAGGGAACACTTCTATATACACACCTATCTGCATTACCGACTTCCATGCCACACTTGTTATATAGTTTGTCTAATTTTCATTTGAATGCCCCTAATAGTTTAACCAGCATGCTGGTCTCCCCCGGTTATATGCATCATGCCAGTCAATCTGCAAAAATATGGTATTTAGGATTCCAACAAGCCAAATTTACAGAACATGCACAGATAAAACAAAGATTAACACTCAAATACCAGAACAGACTAGATGCAGTATCAAGA